AATGAGGATTGACTGCTAATGGGCATGGAGGTTCTTTCTGGGGTGATTAAAATGTTCCAGAATTGATGTGGTGATCGTTGCACAACTGTGAATATGCCAAAAACCACTGAATAGTACACTTGAAATAGGTGAATTTTATGGTATGTGAATTACATCTCAATAAAGCTTTTATTTTAAAAAATGAAAGAAAAAGTAAACTAACAAATGGGACAATAAATAAATCAAAATAATAACAGTGTCACAAAAGCCAAGAGGAGAGCATCTCAAGGACAAATAGGTCAGCAATGCTAAATCCTTGCAGAGTTCAAATGAAAATAGAAACGGAGAGATAACTGGTGGAATATAGAGATTATTAGTGACTTCTGAGTGCTGTTTTAGTAAAGAGGAAGCCCCCTTTTGGAGAAACTGCAGAAGTTTAAGGACTGATTGTTGTAGAACACAATGAAGTCTCTTCACGGGAGGAGACTATGGATGGGCTGAACCTTGAGGAGACCAAGGGGAAAACCGATGCAGTCTGGAGTTTTTGTTTTTGTTTTTAGGATAGAAGAGAACAGTGCATGTTCACAGCACAGGAAAAGGAGCCAGCAGAGAGGTTTTAAGGCATTGTTTTAATTTGTTCTCTGGGTGTTTTGTCTGCTAGCCTGAATCACTGCTTCCCTGAGACTAAAACTCCCACCTGCAGCAAATGCCATGAGTCCTTTGAATGGTGTCTAGCACCAAACTGAGCATTAGTTGTTATTGTTAGCTATGGTGACCCCGTGCACAATGGACAAAACACTGCCCAGTTCTGTGCCATCCCGTAATCAGTTTCGGATTGAACTGTTGTGATCCACAGGGTTTTCACTGGCTGATTTTTGGAAGTCAGTCACCAGGCCTTTCTTCCTAGTCCGTCTTAGTCTGGAAGCTCCGCTGAAACCTGTTCAGCATCATAGCAACACGTAAGCCTCCACTGACAGACGGGTGGTGGCTGTGCGTTGACTGGGACTGGAGCCCAGGACTCCCTCATGGAAGGCAAGAATTCTACCACGGAACCACCAGTGTCCTCATGCACTGGATAAATAATTCTGATTGCTCTCTGAATCAGAAAAGTTACCCTACGTATTAATGTTTGAAGGAGGGAAAAGAAAGGAATTTTTCTGGAAGAGAAATAGGCCTATGATAGACCCTTTTCATGTATATGAGTGGGACAAGAATAGTGTCTACAAAGCTGGGGAGAAAAAAAAATCACTTTTGTCTGCGGCAACTGTGAGTCAACTGCTTGGGGGCTAGTCTTCTCTGCTGGATGGTTTCCCTGATGTGAAGACACATCATTCATCCCAACCATTTGTTATTAACAAAACACACTGTCTCCCTGGGATTTTTCCCAGCATGGATCCCAAACTGAATCGAACGTATCGCACACACTGTGCCCCTCACACGTGGCTGGGCCTCCAGGAATATAAGTTCATAAGACTTAAGGCAGAACCACGATATGAGGAGATGAGCAATGCCTGCCTATTCCCTCAGCACCCTGTACTTTTACGTCTGGTGTTGTTACTACCAGGAATACCCTTATCTCTATCCCCTTTACACTGCGGACCCTCGCTTGCGAAGCCTTTTCTGCTCCCCCAAGAAATAATGGAAGCCTTCCCTAAGCTGCTAGAGCACCTTCCACATTGTATCAGAAACTATTTATGGGTCTGTCTCCACTGCTAGATGAGGGCAGTGGTGGTTCAGTGGTAGGATTCTTGCCTTCCGTGTAGGAGACCTGAGTTGGATTCTCGGCTAATGCACCTCATGCGCAGCCTTGTCGGTGGGGGTTTGCATGTTGTTATGATGGTGAACATGTTTCAGCAAAGCTTCCAGACTAAGACAGAGTAGGAAGAAAGGCCTGGTAATCTGCTTCTGAAAGTCAGCCAGTGGCGCAGGACTGGGCAGCATTTTGTTCAAGTCAAGCTGACTGAATGATAGCTAACGACAACAAAAACAACAACTCCCCTCATGAACACTGTGAGTTTCTCAACAGGAAGGACTGGACTTTATCCTCATTAAAGTTCCCAGCCCAGTAGCTGGCTCATGGTAAGTAATCACACTTTGTTGAAGGCATGGATGGATGCAGGAATACGATAGAGCTCTGTGAGATTCCAGCTGCTGACATGGTTGCATCCTGGTGTTCTTTTTCTGGGCCAAAGCGGTTGTTTGCTTTGGCCTCTCTATCCCTTTAACAGACTCTGCCTGAGTGGCTGAAAGCACACAATGGAGCAGTGTGCCTTTCAGCAAACACAGTGAGCAATGGAAAATGCAAAGCCTGAACCCTGAATGCAAGAAATGGCTTGCTGAATGCAATTACAAATAAAAAGAAACTGCTTATTTTCCCTGAAACAGAGTGAAGTGCTCCAGAAAAAATTGTTCTGCTCCAGTTCTGGGTATCAGTGTTGGTAAAGCTAGTGTACCGCTGGCTCTGCCTGCCCCTGGTTGGGCTGAGCTAGCATTTGGTATGAAGAGGAATGTCAGAGAAACTTGTTGATGCAGATATTTCTTGGACATCGGTATGCAGGGGTAGGCCCTTTCTGCAAAATTCTCCGTTAAGGAGGCACCGAGTGAGTCAGGGATGTTTTCACTGGCCTATCCCTGGGACATAACTTGATTCATCCACAAACACTGGCATTCCTTTTCGAAGAGGGGAATAGAATTACTTTCCTGATGGTGTGCACGTAATTCCTCTTAGCAAGCATGCAACTACCAAAAAACAAAGCAACCACGAAAACTTCTCTTCAGGGTTTTCACCAAAATATGAGGTTTAAATTGTAATGTGTAAATGCCCATTGATAGCGAACTGGTTAAATAAGTACAGTACATCCATACACTGGAATATGAGGCAGTTCTACATGCAATGATACAGAACAATCTCCAATATATATTAATAAATGAAAGACAGCAAGGTACAGAGCAATATATACATTTGAGTTTACGTGCAGATACTGTCTATAGATGCTTGCACAAGAAAACGGTATCAACTGTTGCCTCCTGAGAGGGAAACTAGTTTCTGGGCACAGGAGTAGACAGAAAATTTTTTTCCCACTATATTCGTTTTTGTGTTATTTGCTGTGTGTGCCTTGTGTATCATCTGCTAAAATAATCTTTTTTTTTTTTTTTTAAAGTAAGAACCTATGAAAGTCCAGTAAGGTTCTCTACTGTCACTCCTTTTTTCCTGAAAGCCTTGTCAATCCTCAGTAGAAGGAACTTAAATTGCTGTAATATGTTTTCTCTTAAATTCTAAAACAAACTGGTAGTCTGACAGTTCTACCAGCTGTATGTACATACAATGTATGATTTTGTGAACCAGTTCATTCTGCTTGAACCTCAAAAGAGAAACCTATTTGTTTCTAAGGAAATAGCTATTGAAGTGTTAGGATATATATATATATATTTTTTTTTCCACTAATTGTGAGGGCAGTGTCCCAGACCTTAGGCTCTGGAGCTCCTTTCTGGGTTGGTGGGTTCTCTGATTATATTTATGGATCCTGGAGTCCCCACAGAGCACTTTTCCTGGTAATGGTGCTAGACTAGAGAGGACCTTTTGCCGAGACCGTCATCCATCCAGCTGGGGAAACCCAAGCTTGGTTTCCTAACCAGGGAAAAGGTTTGCAGCTTTTCTATGGGGAAGGAGGCTGGGACAGCTCCAACAAACTCACAGCTCCTGTGCTGTATTAGCAAGCAAAATGAGGGGGCGGAGGAAGGCTTGGGGATGGAAGCCTCTTGGACTTTAACTCTTCTGCTAATGGATCTCCCTTAGCTGGGAACTGCCTGCTCCCTTGTACCTATCTGGGTGAAAATATACTTGCAGTTAATCCTCAGGCCAGGAGGCTCGGAAACGGGACCTGTAGAGTAGCCATGTTCGCCTCTCTCCCAGTCCCACTGGAAGATACAGAGGGCTGAGGTGGAAAGAGCAAGACAGTAAGAGTTTAGAGACCTGAGTCCAAGTGCCAGTGCTAACACTAACCTGCGTGTGACCTCTGGCAAGTCACTGCCCTCTGAGTCCTCCTTTACTCTCTGTCAAATGATGGGGTGGGATTCCATGATCTCTTTCTGCAGCTTAGCGCTGGTTCATCCGGGTCTAGAGAGGTGGGTGGACTACCAAACTCCACTCTCTCAGGTTAGTATCAGCGAAGCTCCTGGGGAAAGGTGTTTTTTAGAGCGAGATGAGAGGTGGGTAGAAGACTGGCTTGTTGCCCATCTTAATCCTACCCACTGTTTTGGCCCCTCTAGGAGGAAGCTAGAGGAGCGTCGCAGCCCCTCACAACGGTGATCCTAGCTTAAGTTCTCTCTTCCATCCTTTCGCCTAAACAACTCCTTAAGCTTTTGGAACATTGGTCGGCAAGTTTTAGGGGCGGTGGTCAGAGGACCCTTAGAATAGCGCGTGGAAGCCACGGATCCTTCTCAAAAAGTGAGCACAGGCAAAGGCAATATTTTGCATATGAGTTCAGGATCTCACTGTCCACCTGACTTCCAGCTCTTGAGTCTGAAAGGCTGAGGTGGTGTTGCCAGTTGGGGTTGCGGAGAAGTAGAAAAGGCGAGAAATCAAAGTGAAGCAATACTCAGGTCCCATTCCCTCCCCCAGCTCACATTCCTCCGCCTTAGGCCCACTCCCGCCGCCTCCGCTTCCAGAGGAGGCCTTCGTCTCCCGCTCCAACTATTCCAACCATCCCGGGAAGGGTGGGGCGCTCGATTCTCCGACCCTGCTAAGTTCCCCACTGCTCGTCGGCCTTCCCTTCTGCTCCGGCCCCTCCCTTTCTGGGGTGGGGCCAGCCAATGGGCGACGAGCCTCTGGGGTTCGGCCTGAGAGCGCACAGACCCCAGTCCCATAGTTCTGGCGGTGGTCCCGGTGCGCACTGACGTGGCTCGAGTTTCCTCTGCGCTCCACTCTCGCTCGCTCCCCTTCCTCCCGCTCCTCTTCCCCTCCTGATCTCCCGCTCCTGTTCCAGCTCCACCCGGCAAGCCCCGCGCGGCTTCGGGTAGCCATGGAGGACACCCAGCTCCATATCATCGAGCAGCCGCTTCCCGGGTACCCCGACGCCGAGGGTCCGGGGCCCTCCCTCGTGGGGGCTCCAGAGGCAGAGGAGCCGTCGGGGGCCGCCTCTGAAGAACTGATCAAGTCCGACCAGGTGAACGGCGTGCTGGTACTGAGCCTTCTGGACAAAATCATCGGCGCAGTCGACCAGATCCAGCTGACCCAGGCCCAGCTGGAGGAGCGGCAGGCGGAGATGGAGGGCGCTGTGCAGAGCATCCAGGGCGAGCTGAGCAAGCTGGGCAAGGCACACGCCACCACCAGCAACACCGTGAGCAAGTTACTGGAGAAGGTGCGCAAGGTCAGCGTCAACGTGAAGACTGTGCGCGGCAGCTTGGAGCGCCAGGCTGGCCAGATCAAGAAGCTGGAGGTCAACGAGGCCGAGCTGCTGCGGCGCCGCAACTTTAAAGTCATGATCTACCAGGTGAGCTGGGGGACGGACCGCGCCCAGAGCTCCCGCGCCCAGCCCGCGGTCCCCAGCCCGGGGCTTGGGGCGGGAGGACCCGTCTGCGGCGTGACCCTCCCACCAACCTGATCCGGACGCTCGGAGACCCACTCTCCTTCCGGCGAATGCGACTGGGGTTGGGTGGGGTCGGGGGAGAGGCGGACTGCGGGAGCGCGCTCTGCACCCCGCGCCTCCCCACCCCACCCTCTCCCTCCGATGTGAAACTTGTAGCGGGACCGAGTTAGGGGTCTGGACTCGGCGACTCTGCCTGCCCCTCGCAGACCGCCCCCAACTTGGCTCTACCAAACGTCTTCCTCCTTGGGGGAAGGTTCGTGGAAAGTAGGGGTCCCTGGGGCCCGCTGGGGCCCGCTGTAAGCGGACACTGGCTGTGCTGCCCCGGGCTGGGCCTCCGAAGCGTCCCGCCCAATATAGCGAGTGATTCAGGGCTCAGGCACGCACCCACGGGGATCGCGCCAGGCGAGGGACGGGATCGCCAGCGCCCCCCCACCCCAGACCCCGTATCAGCCTCTGCTGCTCACCCCCGTCCCCGGGGTGCAGTCGACCCCTGGCGTCCAGACACTTTCAGGACCTTGGGGACACACTAGCCCGCGGCGCGCCTGCCACCTTGACTCCTGGGAGCAGACGCGGGGTGGCGGGGGTGGGGTGGGGGGCCGCGGCGTGGGGAGTGCAAGAGGGGCCGTGGAGGGGGAGGCCAACTCCCGCCCGGGTCTGGGTGCAGTGAATCACCCCGCATGCCTGTGGAGGCGGAGGCCGCGGCGCTGCAGCGGCTCCCGCCGCCTGGCAGCCGGCGGGAAGAGACAGGCTTGCCCCGGACTCCACTCGGTCGCTTGTTGCTTCCTTTGCATCTCTTCCCATTCCTCCTACCTGGATACAAATGTAATTTTTGTATCATAACCTCAAGTAAACCTGGAATCTCAGTGTTGCTGGTCTTCTCCACTCCTCTTCCCCAATCCCATTCGGGGTGGGCCTGAGTGGAAGGCTTGACCATTTTTGGCTGGGCAGGAATGTGCCCACCCTCTCCTCCTCCCTGTTTCCCACAGGCCTGGTTCATATTCCTACCCCAGGGGAAATCATGAGGAGGGGGCTAGTCTATGTGCTCTCCTCCCCCTTCGTCTCCCTAAGGGAATAGAAAGAAAAGAAAGAAGGGCTAGGTTTCTCAAGCCCCCTAGGTGAGGGGCCCTGTCAGAGGACTGCTTGGGGGCTGCTTTAGCAGTGATGTCCTTGGCTCGGTCTCTCTAGAAGGAGATAAGAGAGATGCAGGCACCACAGGTCTGCAGGGCGGGGCAGTACTGGGACAAGTGTTTGGGGAGAGTAGACACAGGGACGTGGGTGAGCTGGCACCTGTCTGAGGAGGTAGTGGTGGGACAGAGATAGAAGTGGCAACTCCGCCTCCCCAATCACTACCCACTGCTCCCTAGAGACACCTGACCTTTAAGAAACTTTGCCCCCACCCCACTTACAACTGTATCTGGTAGAAAGGCTTCCCAGAGCTGTTTCCCCTTCAGAATCTAGCTGCTTGGAGGAACTGGGGGGGCGGGAGGGGGGGACTGGGCTTGTGAGGTTTCTTTTTAAAGAGCCCTGCCTAGCACTGGGGGGCAACAAGGGAAGAACAAGACAGGGGCAGGGACAGCAAGCCAGCTCTATCTTTTCTCCAGAGCCTGGTGTGGTAGTGGGTTGCCATAAAGGGTTGGATGGGTGACCCCTCCCCCTCTAAATGTCCTAAACCTAAGAGCCTGGAAAAGTTCTCAGCCTTGAGGTAAACTTTCTTATGGCAAAGATGGAGCTTCTGAGAGAAGGACGGACGGGGATGGAGGGCGAGGTATGTCTGCGCAGAGGCTAGGGATTTCCGTCTGTAAATTGTGTGTATGTGTGTGTAGGGGGGTTTAAGGTTCTAATCACAGGCTGGCTTTGACTTTGACTGCACCTGTACTAAAGCAGGGCCAGTGGGTGGGGGCGGGACACAGAGCTGATGCAGAAAAAGTGGCTCAAACTGGGGGCTGAGCCCCCAAAACACAGGGGAAATAACTAAGTACTAAAATGATCCCAACCTGGGAGGAGCTCAGAGGTAAGGAAAAGATTCCAGCAGCAGGGGTGGGGCTGAGGGAAGCAGAACTTCCCTGAGCTGCTGAGCAGATGTTCCAGGTTGGGGAGAGGGGGTGGGATACTCAGCTGCTGAAAGGGAGCAGAGGCTGCTCCTCCCTGAGGTCTGCAGGCCTGGGAAAAGAATGAGGTAAAAATAGCTCTGCGACTTGGCGGGCCTAATAGGGAAGACTGGGGGCGGCAGCATTTGTGGTAAAGTCAGGCTGAGGGGTTAGGATGCTTGGGCGGCCGGGCATAGGAGGAGAGAGACTGACTGATTTGGAAGGGCCTCCAGGGGGTGGGGTGAATGAGCTTTTCTGAGTGGGAGCAAGGGAGGGGATGCCGTATTTCCCACCCACTCGAGATGTGGGACTCAATGATGTGGCAATGGGGGCAGGGTGTGGGGGATGATGAAGGGATAGGAAGGCCCCAGCTGTGGGATCAGGGTACCTGGCTTTTCCAGGGCCAGAAAGGAGGGAATTCCTTGTGTGGTCCCACACCAGATCCAAGGAACTCCTTGACATAAGATTTTCATAGGTTAAGTTTGCATTTGACCCACCTCCACACACACGCTCCCAAAAATAAATTCAGCACTCCTATCCCATGATGTTAGAGTCTTCACTTTGACTCACTTCTAAGGCATCACTTTCCTTCTCTGGTGTTCCCTCTTCTGTCCCCCCAAAACAAAAACTCGTGGTTTAGCACTCCATCCTACCAGGTAACATAGGTGAATGAGATAAGTGAATTCTAGTTACTAGGGGTTAGTGGACTGAGGGCTGCTGGGAGGATCAGGCCAGGCTGTGGGCAGGATAGTGGCTGCTCCAAAACACCATGCAAAGGAGAGGAGCTGAGATCAGTAAACAGCCAATTCTCCTAGGCATCAATCTGGACATTGTCTTATTCATCTAGTGCTGCTACAACAGAAATACCACAAGTGGATGGTTTTAATGAAGAGAAGTTTATTTCCTCACAGTCAAAGTAGGCTAAAAGTCCAAATTCAAGGTGTCAGCTCCAGGGGAAGGCTTTCTCTCTCTTGGCCTTCTCATCAGTGTTCCCCCAGACCAGGAGCTTCTCGGTGCAGGGACCCCGGTCCAAAGGACGCGCTCTGCTCCTGGCACTGCTTTCTTGATGGTATGAGGTCCCCTGTCTCACTGCTCGCTTCTGTCTTTTATATCTCAAGAGATTGCCTCAGGACACAATCTAGTCTTGTAGATCAGGTCCTACCTTACCAACACAACTGCCACCCATCCTCCCTCATTAACATCATAAAGGCAGGTTTACAACATACAGGAAAATCACACAGTACCAGGAATCATGGCCCAGCCAAACTGATATACACATTTTTGGGGGGACATAATTCAAACCATGACAGACATTATCAGAGTTCTTCTAGAATCCAGAAAGGGTGATAAATTGGATTGGAAATAAATGTTTTCTGGAGCAGTTTAGATGAGGCAAAGTTAGTGACCCACAAATGGACCAGCAGGGAAGACCCATCAGACCTGCTCCAAGTGCTTGGGGACAAGACTAGGAAGTATTTAAGGGATTAGGTGGCTTGTGGGCATTAAAAGGGAGGACACCAGGGTTGGACTGGGGGCCTGCTAGCCTCTCCTCCCCCAGTTCCTAACCCAACCTGTAGCTTCTTCCTGGACTCACAGTGAATCAGGGCTGCCTTGTTCCAGAAGAGCCCCAAACCTCTGTCCAAAAATATTCCTAACTTGGGCCTCTGGCCCCTCTCACTGCCTAAGGCTAGTGGCCAGTGTGCTTACCACTGTCTTGCTCCAAAAAGCTGATTTGGGGTTGTTTTTCTTGGCCACTGGATCCAAAGCAGGGAGGGTGTTTTTAGGTGTTCCCAAGACTAAAGGAAATCATCCCATCCCCCTCCTCCTCTTTCCCAGGTTGTGTGTGCATGTGTGTGAGAAATTGGACTATTGTAAAGATCAAAGTCAATAAAGTAAGGAGATGGCACAGAGTGGGCAACTGATAGTGAGAGGGGAGGGGGTGTCACTGCGAGGCAATCAGCCCCAAAGTTGAGTGGTGGTTTGTGCCATCTCTTTGAACAAAACCATCATTAATGTATCATCAGTCTGTCAGAATTTTTGAACTGTAAGAGGTCTTAGAGATAATCAACTTTAACTCCTTCATTTTGTAGCTAAGCAGAGGCCCAGAGAAGGGAAGTCACTTGCCTATTGTCACTCAAGTGATTGGGGGTCAAAGCTGGGGCCAGAACACAGGTATCTTCCTTCTTCTGCCACATTTGCAGTTCACCTCCTCCTTCCATTCCCCAGCTCTGCAGCAGGTATCAGGGTGAATGGCTCCTTCATGCTCCCAAGGAGGGAGCTGCAAGGTCCTGGCACTGGGTCTGCTCTGTGTGTATCTGAGTGTGTGCGTAGTGTTGGCTAAGAGCAGTGTCCATTAGCTGCTCAGCCTCGAGCACTGAAGCAGAGGCAATGTGTGTCACGTGGCCCAATGACAGTGGGAGGGCATGGGCTCGGGGTGGAAGGATGGAGCTCCCCGACCAGCCATTGATCCCCCTGGCATGAACTCTGCATCTGGCTAGGTGAGGGCCATGTTGGCTCCCTTTCTTCTCAGCCTCTCTGCCACTCCTCACCTCCTCCCCTGCTCCTCACAGCAGGTTGGGGCCTGCTGCTTTGATTTTCTGTGGCTGCAGGCCTTACTCTGAACTCTGTTGCTGTCTGATTCTGGTAGTATCCCCAGTTGTCCTTCTTCTCTGACTTCTCCTGACTGTACAACACAAGAGTGCCAGCTCAGCCCCTCAGGAGGGAGAGGTGGGAGCTACCAATGGGTGCCCTAGGATGTAGGCCCACCTGTTGTAAAAATAGCTTGGTGTTTGATCCTGAACTCCCTGTGCATCTTGG